TGACCATGGGCAAGTCACTTGGCTTCTCTGAGACTCAGTCTCCTCATCTATAAAATGGGGAGCTTGGACTATGGTGATCCCTTTCCAGCTCAAAATCCTACAGACCTCCCTAAGATTTGGTATCCTCCTCTATACAATGGGGACAGTGTCACGTGGACTCCCCTTCCCATAGGACAGTTGTTAGAAAATGCTTTTGAAGGCCCAGACCACTTAAAATAATGACAGCTGGCCGTGTGGTTTTTGTTATTATGAACGGCTCCTTCCGGATGGTGCAAGTAGCAGGGACTGGCTTCTCCCAGTAGCTGTATGGCTTAGCCCTGCAGATCCTCCACCAGACCCTCGCCGTGGGTCTCTCTATCTCTAGCTCTAACCCGTCCCCCTCCACGCTGCTGCAAGTAAAGACACAGGTCTGACCGCGTCCCTCCCAAACCCCGTTAGGGGCTCCCCGCCTCCCCCAACTCGTGTTTCTGGCCTCCCACGCTGCTCTCTGGCCTCGTCCTGCCTCTATGGATCCATGCCAGACCCCCCCCGCAACACACACACACACGCACACACACACACACTTCCCTGATCCACGAAGCGTTCCCTGAATGGCTCACAAAGTGGCTGCTTCCTTGCCCTAACCACACTCTGCCTTGTATCACAGACCTATTTGTAAACCTTTTCGCACACCCTCCATCATACTGGAAGCGCTTTGAGAGCAGAAGCGGTCTTGTTTTTCATCTTTGTACCCCATGGGCCTAGCATCTAATAAGCGTTTGATGGACTGAACTGCAAGCCCCCTGAGGGCAGGGACCCACTCGGTCTCCTGTTTGTATGTCCCCCCCAGTGCTCAGCTGAAGACCTCACACACAGTAGGCACCTACTGAGTACTTGTTAAACACCCATCAGCAGACGCAGGGAAGCCTGGAGCTCGGGCTTGGCCACTAGAGGGGAGCAGAGGGCTGCCGATGGCTTGGGCAGGCCCCTGGTGCAGTCTCTGCCCGCGGATTGTGCCCAGGTGTGCTGGTCACCTCCTCTCCAGCCCTTCCCAAGCCACAGCCGCATCGGCGCTTCCCGAAGCTTCCGCCCTTTGACCTGGACCAAGTGTCCTTGTGCACGATGGGGGCAATCACGGCCCCTGCCTCCTGGGGCTGTTGTCATGACCAGATGCACTGTGTGGAAGGCGCTTTGCAAGCCTTAACGCACCATGCGAGGGCAGGCTTTGTTACTGTTCTTGTCAGGGCCTTTCTTTTCATCCCTCTTCCCATCCACTCACAAGTGTCCAGAAAGTGGGGGAAAAGCACCAAACAGCTTTGCTGCGGCCTGGAGCTTGGGAGGGTGGCAGCAGGCTACAGTGGGCAGAGTGCTGGACTTGGGCCTCAGTTTCCCCACCTATAAAATGACTAGGGGGCCTTGGAGGCCCCTTCCAGCTCCAAGCTATGGTCCTAGGACCCAACACCTGTGAGCTGGGGCAAACCTGTGGCAGAGTGTGGGAGGGAGCTGGTGTCCCTCTGGGCCTCAGTTTGCTCATCTATAGAATGAGGGGGGCCGTCTTGATGTCCTCCAAGGGCCCCTCTACGTCCAAACCTAGATTTTATTCCAAGTCGGCATGTCCGCTGTCAGGAATGAGCTGGAGGAGTGTTTGATGGTTTGGGGGTGAGGGATGGTCTTAGCATGGTCAGGGGCAGGCAGGCTTCATGGGCTCCTAGATTTAGGCCTGGAAGGGGCCTCGGAAACCATCCATTCCAGTTTCCTCATTTTTTTTTTTTTAACCACCAATGCCCGGACGGTTGGAGGGCAGAGCTAAGATGCATTCCCCCTCCCCCAGATTTTCTGATTTCAGTCCCTCACACATACTGACATGCCTGACGGCCTTGGGGACCTGCACTCCTTGGTGAAGTCCCAGATCTCCATCCTCTTTTTCCTGGTTGGGGGCCTGCTTGCTGGAGCTGGCCTCTTAGTGGAACTTCACTGAGCCTGAAGCTTTTGTCTCTCAGCACCCCCCTCCCATGGGACCCAGGGCCCTGGATCCAGAGAGGAGTGGGGAGCTTGGGCTTAGAGATTTCCCCATGAAGTGACATTGTAAGTTATTTAATGTGGCAGAGAGAGCAAGGCGTCCCTGAGAGGCAGGAGGGCAGGGACCGTGCTGAGAATGTCAGACTCGGGAGGGAGAAGACGGTGTTAGAGCTGGGAGGGCATTTAAGGCTGATCTAGTCAGAGCCTTTCTTCATTTTGCATATTGGGAAACTGAGGCCAAAGGAGGAGAAAAAAAAGAGAGATTTTTCCAAGGTCACATAGCTATTAGAAGGCAGACTCGGGGCAAGGAAAAGGAAGGTCCTGGCTTCCTTACACCAAGCCCGGCATTCTGTCTCCCTGTGACTTTGAGCCACGAGTCATTTCTTCTCCTTATCACGTAAGGAAGCTCCTCAGCCCTTTGTCTGCTGCCAGCACAGCTGTGGGGGTCAGAGAGGCTGGGAAGCCCTTGGATGATGTCCGGGCCATGCCTCCCCCATCTCCATTGCTCTGGGCCCATCCTTTCCTCCCAGGTCTACGCAGCCACCGCTGCTGTGTCATTCAGGAGCACTCGAGGGGGCCCCCTAAATCTTCAGGAAGCCACCAGAGACACAGGGACAGGGCGGGCCAGTGGGGCTTCTATGGAGACATCACCTGGGGGGAAGGCTCTGGAGGGGGAGGGTGGCTTCCTCTTTCCAGCATGGGCTCTTCTCCCATCCTCCTTTCCTCCCCTCCCCGCCAGGTGTTCTCCATGGCAACCCTTCCTGTCTGGAAGAGGCACAAGGCAGTGTAGCATCTGGTGGGGGGAGGTGCAAACTTGGGGTGAACCAGAGGAGGGGCAAGGGACACCAGCTCCCTCCCACACTGGGGCACATACAGTGGAAAGAGAGTGAATTTGGGGTCTGAGGAGCTGGGTTCAAATCCTGACTTGAGTGACTCCATCTCTGGGCCTCAGTTTCCCCCTGTAAAATGAGGGGGCTAGACTGTCTGACTTTTAAGGTCCCCTCCCACCCCGACTTGCTCTCTCTGGGCCCCCCTTTCCAACTCTTTCTAAAACAAGGATTTAGACTTGACAAGCTCTTTTTAAACCTGAGCCATACGAGCTTAGGGAAATCACAATAAGCCCAGGCTGCTTGCACGCCCCAGAAGAGCAGGAGGAGAGATGGTGGTCTATTTTGAGAGGGGCCTGACAGAAGGGAGCCTTACGAAAGCCGGCCCTCCCTGAGCCCCAGGACACCTCAGCGGTGGAGTTCCAGGACCCGCACTCACCCCTTTGAGGCCCCACGTCCCACATGAGTGACAGGGGCTACACCAGAGGACCTCTGGCCCCTGATGACTCTAGGGCCGTGAACCTAGGAGATTCTGACCTACTGGAGGAAAAGTAAAAAAAAAAAATCCTCTTTATTACATCCAGAAAAGGAAAAAAAAAATCACTCCCCATGACTCAGGAAGAAAGATTGTAAGAACCTGGAGGATCCTGGGAGATCACCTAGTTTAGTTAGCCCTTTCTCCTTAAAGAGGAAGAAACTGGGGGTCAGGGAGGGGCAGCCTTTGTATAGAAATACAGAGTCAGAATTTGAACTTGGGTCATCTGAGCCCAAGCTCAGGGCTCCTTCTACTAATCCCGAGAAGCATGATCCCCCTTTTACAAATAAGGAAACCGAGTCTTAGCAAGGTGAATCGTCTTGCCCAGAGCCACTGAGCTGGGAAGAGGCAGAGCCAGGGGCTTTCTGAAGTAGGCCAGGCTTGTGCACGTACTCCCTTGTGAACCTTTATCTGCCTCTTCTCCGTTTATGTGAATCTTTCCCTCCTGTTCCCAGGGGGAGAGTCTATTTCTGTGGCCAGGGAATATAAGCAGCCCAGGTTATTAGCACCATTCTTCCCCCAAAGTCAGGTCTTCTTTGCCGTGCTGAAAACTGTGAGATAAATTAGACACAATCCTGGCTTTCCAGCAGCTCTCAGGCTGAGACCCAGACAGATTCTTAGAGGATTGAAACAACAAAAATAAAAATAAAAACCCCCTAAGGACAGCCACCAACCAGATCTGGGAATGGAGTCGGTTAAGTATTTCCATCAGAAACAAGTCTGGGCCATTGGTCAGACACCAGGCCAGGGCAGGAAAGGCTTGGCCAAGGCGGCCCCTCCCCCCTATTTTATTCCTGGGGGCAGGGATCCAGCCGAGAGCACATCTGCTGGAAAGAGCCCCAGGCCAGAGAAGTCAGAAAACCCCTGCATGCTTGTCCTAGTTCCAACTCATCTGACAGAATGGAAGCTCCGGAGGGCAGGGGCTGTCTCATTCCTATCTTTGTATCTGCAGAGCCTAGCCCAGGGCCTGGCACACAGTAGGTGCTTAGCAAAATTGTGGATCGCTTGATCTTGTGACTTATACAAATGTCCTCCCTAGGCCTCAGTTTCCACACCTGTAAAATGAGGGCTGCACTCCAACAGGGTTACTGGGATCTGGGCCCAGACTGATTGATAGAGATTATAACGTGAAGCTGAGAATGACAACATTGTAGACTAGAGCTAGAAAAGCCCTTAGGAGGTCATCTAGCGCAGCCCGTCATTTTATAGGTGAGGAAATGAAGGCCCAGAAAGAGCGGTGACTTGTCCAAGGTCACCCAGGCAGCAAGTAGCAGCGCAGACACTCGAACTCAAGTCTTACAATTCCCAAGCCAGCTGCCCTGTGAGGAGATGGGAGAACACAGGGGTGGAACATTCCACATGATGCCAGCCTTGGTTAATGCGTCAGTCGGTGTTGCTGAACTTGCCCTCCCCCCCCACCCCCACCCCTTCTTTTGTAGTCTTTGTGATAAGGGATGGCTTCCTGGGAAGGGGAGGAGGGAGGGACATATCTGCAAAGGAGGGCGATGTGAAAACAACCAATATCAATAAAAATAACTTTTGAAAATGTCTTGTAGGGCGTGTGGCATAATCGGTACTGTGCACCGCGTGGGGAAGGGCCAGGTGGGACATAGAGGACGGAATCCTGGTGGGATCCCTACCTGAGACACTGCCGTTCCTGTGGACCGCGCTGCTGGGGCTTTGGGTGCCTGGGTCCATGGCCGGCCTCCTCACCACCACAAACTCCCCTTCGGAGGTCTCACTGGAGAGGGAGCTGACCATGCCGTTGGTGGCGTGAGCTCGCTTAGACCTCCAGCTGAACTTGCTGCCCAGGCGTCGGCCCTCTCTGCCGGTGGCAGCCGCTCCGATGGCAGCCTCGCTCTTCCCGGCTTGGACAGAAGGCTCCCTACCCTTGGGCTTTGGTTCTGCTCTCCTGCCTCCTTTCCAGTTCGCCACGTCCTCCAGGGGCGGAGGGTCCATCATGGGCAGCACCTGGTCTAGCGTGACCAGGTCGTGGAGAAAGCTGTCGAGGCGCCGGGCAGACTCGGAGCCTTCCCCGCCTCCCTCCTCCGGTTCATCTTTGACCCCGCCTCTGGCCTCCTGCTTCTGACGCGCCCAACGCATCATCTCCCCAGGAGGTTGCCGGCTGCCTGCCACCAGGGCATACTTTGGGTTGATCAGTTTACGCGCCACCGTGGAGGAATATTTGAGGCCCGTTAGGCCCAGTTCTCGGTACAGGTCCACCTCCTCCGAGATGGCGTAGAGTTCCCGAAACTCCACGTCAAAGGGCTCCACGTGCTGCCCCGTCAACACCAGGAGAAGATTTCTGTCCACGTGGGAGGATCGCCAGGTAAAGCTAGAAGGAGAAGAGATGCAGTCTTGGTCCTTTTGGCCCTGTGTGCCTCCTCTACCCTCCCCAAGCCCCAGGCTCTCCCACCTTCACTGCCCATGCTCCAAGGATGTCAGAGCCAGAAAGGAAGAGCCGAGGGATTCCCCCTCCCACCTGCCAGCTCAGGCTCAGCCCCACTCACCTGTAAGACCCCGTCGCTACTTTGTCACCATCTACCATTAGGAACCGTGAGGACAGGGTTCCTCTGACCTTTCCGGCAGGCATGTAGAACCCAACACCAGTCACGCATCGCGTTCGGATGTTCTGGTGGGGAAAGGAGACAGGAATCAAAGTCAATCTGATCCGTTGGGCCTAGAATGGGTGTTTGTATGCGGGAGGCCAAAACGGCAGAAAGTGGGTTCCCCCTGCTCTGCAGGCCCTGGGCCATCCACTGCTCAGATGGTTTGAAACGCTCTCCATCCCTGACCCCAGCCCTTTTCTCTGATCCTCAAAAGCAGAATGGTCTCTGTGCCCAGCAGACTTCTCCCTTCCAGATAGTAGTGAGGCTGGCCCTTACTCCACACAGTGGCCACCTAGCGAAGTGTCCCTCTGGAAAGGCAGATGGGGACCAGGGCGTTAATGTGTGGACAAAGGCTGGACCAGATTGCTCACCCAGAGCAGCTCTCCTGACTCCTTCTGAGTTTTTGGCCTGGAATCATGGGGATTCGGATTCAAATCTTGCCTCAGATCCTTACTGGCTGAGTTCCCTGGGGCAAAATGTTTGACTTCTTGGAGTCTCATTTTCTTCCTCTAAAATGGGAATGATCATAGTACCCAGCCTATAGGGTTGTTGTGAGGGCCCAATGAGATATCTCTTCTAAAAGGTGCTTCAAACCTGAAAGGGCGTTATCGTTGGAAGGGCCACCCAGAACTCGGTGCTTTTGCACCATATTGGTGATGACCTGGGGCTGACAAGCACCAGGCAGGAGAGTGGGCTGGATCAGAACCAAGACCCGGGGAGCCCTCCTTCCCTCCTCACTCTGGAGTGGAGGCCATGAGCTGATATCTGTTATTTGCTCATGTCTGGGTGGGGAGCAGAAGAGGTGGGAAGAGGACATGCCACTCCCTCTCAGAGTGTCTGGGCCTTTTCCCACCCTCCCCTCAGAGGTCTAGGCCATACCCGGATTCGGAAATCATTGAGCTCTAGGGTCTGGCACATCTCTAGAAAGAACTTGACGCCTGCCTCATCCAGGATTATGTACACGGGGACCCGTCTCTTATAGGCAGCATTGACAATGTCCTGGAAGATGTCTCCATCTGTGAAAAGGTCCATGACCACCGCGATGACCTGGAAGGCGAGAACAGTAGGCTTAGTACTGTGCACCACACATAGGAGGTGCCAAATATATGCTTATTTACTGACTGACAGCAGCCTCACTGTTCCTAGGACATGTCCAAACCGAGGAAGCGGGGACAACCCAATGTGGGAATGCGGCTTGGGCAGGGTGGAGGCTCGAAGGCAGCAGACACTACCTGTAACTAAACCACACTTAGAACTAGAAAGGCATACTTAAATAATAGCTAATCGCTAACATTTCTGTGGCTTCTGAAGGTCAGTAAAGCGCTTTCCAGATATTATCTTGTTTAATAGATTGGAAAGGGCTGAATTTGGACTCAGAAGATACCTTGAGTTTAAATCTCAACCCTTAATAGCTGTGTGACCCTGGGCAAGTCCGAATGGACTTCACCTGCAGGAGCCTCGGTTCCCTCATCTGTAACGTTACTCATAGAACCCACCTCAAATGGCTGTCGTGACCATTAAATGGGACGATGTGCGTAAAAACTGAAATCATAAAACGCTTAGGTATACCGCCTCTCGCCCCCAAAGAGGGAGCCGACTTGGGCCCTGCCACTGACCAGAGCTCTGCTGCCAGGCAACATTGTTTCCCCTTTGTTCTTACTGTGTATGGTTTTGTTGGTTCAGCTCATTCCCCTGTATCAGTTCATATAAATCTTCCCGAGTCTCTCGGAAGTTTTTAATGTTCTGCATTTCTCATGGCTCGATTCCATTACATTCAAATACCACAAACTGTTCAGCCCTGCCCCTCCGATGAGTGGCATCCGCTTTGTTTCCCAAGATGTGGACCCTCCTTCCCTGCCCCTCAAAACAACTTTTTAAATGTTGTACGTGCTCTGTATTTACTTTTATGTTCCTGTGCTGCCTTCTCCAACATTCTCCACATTGCACTGTGCTTACTGTGTTTATATTTTTCTGTCTCCTTCTCTGCATTCGTTCATTTTCAGGACAGTAGAACGTAAACTCCTTGAGGACAGGGACAGATTCTTTTTTGTCTTTGTACCTCTGGTGCCCGGCATGCTTCAGAGGCCTAATCGACGTCTGGTGATCGACTGAGCCGGTGAGGGGTGGGCATCTTACAAGGGAGGCTCAGGGCTGTTCCATCTATCCCAAGATGAAATTACAGGGCGAAGAGGTGTTCACACTGACCGGGAGGCCAGGAGGCGGCTCATTTTCAGACACCGCACGGCTGCATGACCCCGTTAGTTTTCGATCTGCCCAAAGCGGGGCTGAGCCTCATCTTCCCCAGCGGCTTCCAGGTGTCCCACCCCACACCATTCTCAAATCTCAGATCGGACCACTTGGGTCAAGTCCAGTCCTCTCACTTTGGCGCTCTGGGTCCTTTGTGATCAATCAATGTCATTCATTCCCTCATCCAGTCTTTCATCCAATTGTTCCCCATCTGCTAACCCTTCACTTCAGCCAGGTGGGCTTCTTCCTTGGCCCTCAAACAGGGCTTACCACTCATGCTGCCCTCTGGGTCTGATATGCCTTTCTTCCTCCTCTCTCTCCACTCAAACCCCGCTCACTCTTCAAGGCCCACCTCCAGGTCTGTCGGTTTCAGAATCTAAGAAGCTCTAGAAAGGGTCATCTAGTCCAACTGTCTCATTTTACAGAGGGAGAAACTGAGGCGGAGAGAAGAGTGTCTCGCCTGAGGTCTCGTAGGTGGTAAGCATCAAAGGCAGGATGGGCTGGGCAGTCATGAAGCTAGGAAGGCAGGAGGCCCCTGGCTACACGCCATTCCTGTTCCGTTCCCTCCCTCCCGGGACCACGAGGCTTAAAGCCTGCCACGCACTGCTGAGACTCGACCAGCTGGGTCAGCGCTAAATGAAACAGTAAAATATTTGTATTAAAAAAATCAATGGCTCTCTGCCCATGGCGAAGGAGTAGTGATTACCCCGCGCTCAGACTCCACGGGTGCCACCTGACCTTCAGCTCTGTTGTGGCAGGCCCATGACAGCCAGCCCTCTCCTTCGGGAGCTGCCCGGAGCTGCCCGCATTCATCCCTGTACAATGAGAAGTCGCCCAGGGCGACCACGGGCTCCGCACTCTCCACGTATGCTCTGGGGGGGGGGGGATGGAAATACAAATCCCGCCCCTCCCTGCCCCCCCAGGTTGGGCTGAACACCCCGTCCTAGGCTCAGATTCCCAGAAAGGGACGTCACGGTCACCTCTCTCTCCACCTGCTCGTCTCCGCTGCCCACGGAGGGGCAGCACCCACGACGAGAGGTTAATTTGAGCCAACAGTCATTCTTGGAGGTCGCTAGGCTGAGAGCCCAGTGGAAGATGGGCCGGCCCCTGCGCTCTGAGGTTCTGATGCTTCTTCCCGCCGTTCTCATGGCACCGAGTGCATGTCTGGCTTCCTGCTAGAAAGCTGGGGCGGGGGGAGTTGGGAGACTTCTACCTGCCATCCAGTTTTAATTAAACAGCCCAGCTCCGCTAATTTCCTCTCTGGGCTCCTTCATTACTACCAGACACTAAAAATGATGGAAGTCCTCGCTCGGCGCCAGTGGCAACTCTCCTCCCACCTTCCCCACGGTTCTGGTGAAGCCACCACAGGACGTGTCTACGAGAGCAGCACCAGCTCCCCAGTGGCCGGCTGACCGTGACGTCCCTGCAATGCTTCCCCCCACCCCCTCCAGCCACAAAGTCAATGAAAGCATGCATGGGCCAGAGCTACAGATCTGCCAAGGAGCTCACCAGTCCTGTCATCCAACCCCTTCACTTGGCAGATGGGGAAACTGAGGCCCCGAGAGCGGCGCTGGCCTTCCCAAAGTCACATGCAAAATTAAGTGGAACACAGGATCTGAACCCAAGCCCTCTGGAGCCACATGGACCCAGCCCTCTTTCCATTACCCCACAGAGACTCCTTTTTACAGATGAAACAACTGAGAGAGACTCAAAAGACTAATGTCAAATGACTTATCCAGGGCCACACATCTGGTGAAAGGGCCTTAGAGCGAGCTAAGCCCTCAAGGCCTCGGCTGATCCTATTTTCAAAGGATCCACCACCATACCTGAGGCACTGCACTTAGCCAGCAAAGTGACCCAGCAGATGGAGCACTGGGCCTGGAGTCAGGAAGACCCGAGTTCCAGTTCTGCCTTAGATACTAGCAGCTAGCTGTGGGACCCGTCTGCCTCAGTTTCTTTAATTGTAAAATGGGGATAATAACAGCACCTTCCTCTCAGGGTGGTTGTGAGGATATCAAATGAGGTAATATTTGTAAAGCGCTCAGCGCAGTGCCAGGCAGTTAATAAGTGCTTATTCACTCCCTCCTTGTACTAGTTTGGGGGCAGCGTTAATGGAAAGGGTGAGCCCATTTGGGTCTGGAGGCTCTGGATCTCCATCCTGGCCAGGTGTCTTTGGGCAAGTGACTTTATTCACCCCCTCCTCGGGGCCTCAGTTTCCCCCTCTGTCAAATGAGGGAGCTGGACTTCATAGCCTCTTGATGTCCCTTCCAGCTCTAGATTTCTGACCCTCTGTGTGGCCGGGGCAAGCACCTAGCCTCCCCGGGCCTCAGTTTCTTCATCCATAAAATGGGGGGCTCGAGGCTTCTGAGGTCTCTTCTGGCTCCAGATCTGTGATTTCCCCAAGGTCAGCATAGGCAGTGAGTGGAATCTGAACCCAGGTCCTCCGACTCCAAGGCCGGTGTCCTTGCCTCTCCTGGCCGCACAACGGGGTAGAATGAGGAGTGAGCCTCCAAGCATTTATTAAGCCCCTACTGTATTCCAGACTGGAGCTGGGAATGTAAAGGCAAGAATGAAACGGCCCGTGCCTTCGGGAAGCTTACGTTCTACCGAAGGAGACAACCCATCCGAGGGTCCGGAATGCGCACACGAAATGCCTGATACTTGTTGAAATGAAGCGAATTTGAGCCTTGAAGACAGGGAAGGGTTTTGTCCTCGTCATCTGGCATTACCGTAGTATTACAAGAGACTCTTTTGGAGCCTGGAGTTTCTTCTCGTGACACAAATGAGGCCAGTTACGACTCAAGCCGTCGATATGTTTTCTAACTCTGGCCTCACTTCCCTCGCTACCCCTCCCTCATCCGGCCCAGCTTCTTCATTAAAGCTGAACCACCTTTAGAGATCATCTAGCCCAGCCTGCTGGGTTTTACAGATGAGGAAACTGAGGCTCAGAAAAGGGAGTGGACTTAGAGGAAGACCCAGAGCTGGGTTTCCAGCTCCAAATCTATGGTTCTTTTCACTAGACAAAAGTAGCCGGGTTGGTGGTGGGGGGATTAGCGGGAAATGAGGCCAGAAAAGCGCAGGGCAGGGGTAGGTTGCGGGGAGGGAGCAGGGGCCAAGAAACAAAACCTATAGGACCGGCCATGACGATGGAAGCAGGGCTCGGTGTCATCGCTCGTACCTCCTTCTCCCAGTGGGGGAGGATGGGACGACTGCGCAACGAGGAGGGTCTCAGGCCCCCAAGACTTCTTCCCTGGAAATCGAGACCAGGACGAGGGTGTTGCCCTCTGGGAATGCCACCCTGGTCACAGAGACGTCATGAAGGAACACTAGCCACAGGTTCCAGAAACGCATAATTTCGGAGAGTCCTATGATATCCCCAAAGAAAATGGTGCTCGCATATTTACAGTGACGGGGAGTTCACTACCAAAAATGCAGCCTCTTCTGTTATTGGACAGGTCTGCTAAGAAAGTTCCTATTTATAGGAATCCCAAATTGTGCCTCCCTGTAATGTCCACCCACTCATCTTTTCTCCCCGGGCCCAGGTTTGCTTATCTGTGTAGAGCAGCAATCCCTTCCACTACATCCCTCACAAGGTGTTTGTAAGGTGGATCTGAAGACGCAGCCCTTTACGAACTGTGGCATGAAGGTAAAGAGCCAAGTATTAGGAGTCAGAGGATCTGGGTTCACACGCCGCTGCTGCCGCTGCGAGCTCTGTAGACAAATGGCCTCGAGCTCTCGGCCTCAGTTTCCTCATCTATAAAATGAGACGCTTAGAACAGGTTAGATGCCTCTGAGGTCCC